AGCCACAGAAGACATGTGACTCTCCAAATGGTCTACTGCTGAATTCTCTACATGTAAACGGTCGGGGAGGTATTTCAGAGAAAAGAGCTCTCTACAGAAATCCTCCTTCTCCAACATTCAACCTTTTATCACCCTCTATATGGGTGAGTTTGAGTGTCACAAAATAGGTTTTCTCTCACCTCCTTTTTTGCAATTCTGTCATGGTAGGTAGGGTCTGATATGTCACTTGGAACTATATCTACATTGTTTTGGGGTCTTAGCCAACACTCCTATTTTTAACATTCTGCTACCTAAATATTTCAATCATGTCTCAAGTGATGTTTCTGGCAATTTATTTTTGACTATAGTGATGACTTTTAATAACAATAAATAACTTAAAAACATTACATATTTAATTTTAATCTTACAAAGTAATAACTAGCTTTATTAACCTTCCAAATAGTTAAAATATCATTAAAAACCCCAAGCAACTATAGGCTATGTATGATTTTAAGCATGTAAAGAAGACAGTAAAACTGATTGATCCTCACCTACACTTTTAATTCTTTTATAATACTTACCTATTAAGGCTGTGGTAAACCGATTCATGGAGAGAGGTTCTAAATACATTGGTCCTTCATAGGCTGACTCCAGTTCACTCCTGACATAGTCCCTAAATAAGTAAAATGGTAAAAATGTATTAGATACATTCCAAGCACATACAGAAAAGAAAAACAGCTAAAGCACAGTATTCTTATAAAAAGCGTATTATGTTAATAACATCTCTCTCCATATGTATACTAAGAAAAAGTTTAGGTATAAATAATTATGTAGGGATGGACTTCATTTCCTTCTTCTATGCACTGGATCAGAATTTACCAAAAGTGAATTTTACTATGTAGAAAAGACAGCCAAAGCTCTACTTTATGGGATTTTCTTTCTTCCCAAGTCCTATTAAATAACTATTCCCAGTAAAAAAAAACAGTTGAGACACCATCCCTCAACCCTACTACTTAACTGATAATATCCAATAATATTACATCAAATTTCCCCTCCTGTGGCTCTCTTCCACCATCTCACCTATCTTACTTTCCCCAAAGTTTTATCCCCAATTGTACTTAGTTACAAGTAGATCACAAACTAGTTAGAAAACTGGCTCACAGAACAATCCTTAAAAACTGTCACTTTTGACTCTATCAAGAATCTATAATTAGGGTTATAATACGTAAGTAGGCTACAGGTTTATTTTGAAACAAATTTTAAATCACATCAAATATTCCTTTTAAAATTTAATTCATTTAACATGTGAGTACTGAGAAATAACGAGATTTAAGTAGGAAAGAACCTTTACAAACTGAGAAAACAGAACTTTCAGTGCACATCCAGGAGCACAGGAAGGGAAAATTTAATTTACTATCAGTAAGCTTAGTAGTAGCACTAGAAGACTATGGTCTTAAGTTCTCTGGACATCAGATAGAGAAATTTGTGTAAAAAAAATTCTCCTTTTCTTCAATTATTGAATGCTTTATTCACTGCATTTAAAACAGTCTGAATGTTTCCAGTATTTCTCAACAAGCCCAAGGCTGTATTTACTTTTTCCATGAAATTACTTCCTATTAGGCAATCAAGTTGAAATCCTTTAGTGTAGCACAGCCAAATAAGAAATGACCCTTACATAACCCGCAAGGAGAGTACTGCCAAAAAAACCAAAATTAAAAAGTAAAATATATTTTATGAATGGAAGCAGTTTGGGGGACAATTATAAAAATCAATAATGGGCCTAGATTCATAGGTGATTTAGCAATTCTCCTCTATCATTCTATGATGACTATTTCTAGCAAATAATATACTAATAGTCTCTTTTTACTCAAATTCTCAAGGGAATGATTTTAATGCAGTGGTGGTCAACCAGGGGTGACTGGTGGTGATTTTGACCCTGACAGACATTTTGCAATGTCTGGAGACATTTTTAGTTGTCACAATTTAGAAGGGTTAGGGCTGCTATGAGCACCTAGATCAAGATGCTGCCACAACATTCTACAAGTGCATAGGACAGCCCCCACAACAAAGGACTACCCAGTCCAGAGGTCAGTGGTCAAAACCCTGTGAGAGGCATAAATGTTATACATGCAAATTACATATACATATCTGATTTATAACCATCAATGTACAATTATCATATTTTATAAAGTTTTAGGGCAGAAAACTGAAGAATTAAGAGAATTATGAAATTTAAAATAAAATACACATATAAATACCACTTAACATTTAGTCTTTGAAAATACTATTAGAGAAAAAAATTTATATTTGTAAGAAGTCTAACCCGAGTCTTAGGCCTCTAAAGCCAAATAATTTCTTTGTGGCCACAGCAGATCCCTCTCCAATAGGTCCATTACAAAAGAGGGAAAACCCACAAAGACAAATAGATTGATGCTTGCCAGGGGGCTGGGGTGTAGGAAAATGGATTTTACCATAGGGATGAAAATGTTCTAGAATTAGATAATGGTGATGGCTGCACAACATTATAAATTTAATATATGCCAATGAATTGTTCACTTTAAAGGTTAATTTTATGTGAATTCAATAAAAAGGGAATAGGGCTATCTACAAGAGCACTATCCCCGGGGAAGAGCCAAAAGTTGCTCCCAAAGGGCTCAGTCCCCAGGAGATCTCTCAAGGTGGGGGGGGGGGGGGGGGGGATTGCAAAGCTGGGTTCCCTGACATGTTTTCTCTCCCTTGTTTGCTTTTGTCATTGTATTACTGATGTTTTATATATAACTCAGCAAACCCACTATTCTAGAATTTCTTATTGCTGAAATATTTGTTAATTGTTTTGTATTATTTCCTGGCTAGGAATTTTAGTTTATAATTTAGTTTATCTTTTTTTACAGCTTCTTTGCCTTTTAAGAATTCTAACTTCATGTAACGAAATTTGTAAGGAAAATTAACATTCTCTATACTTTTTCTTTTAACCTCAAAAAGAATTTACCATATACATAATATGTTGCTAGCACACTGCTACACTATGGGAATACTACAACAGGCAAGAAAGACACAATCCTGTTAGCATGGAGCTTAACAAACCAGGAGGAAAAACAAAATTAAACAAATTACTTAATCTAATAATTAATTACAATTGTGATAAATGCTATAAAAACAGAGAATGATTTTCTTTTTAGTTCCTTTTCAGTCTCCATATTTCATGACTTTGTGATATGACAAGATTACAGGACACTAAGGGGGATCTGCCTTCCAGAAGAACAATCAACCTTTAGGCCCTAATGACAACACTATGGTGTTAAACAGCTTCCTCCCACTAGCTCTCTATGCTGCTCTCCTCTAGGACCCTAAGAATAGCTCTCCTCAATGCTGCAACCTCCCCCATTAAGGTGCGACCTAAGCCACTGAACCAATCATCCTACCACAGAAATTAACACCTTCTCTAGGCAACTTAGCACCTTTCTCCTTTGTTCAACTCCTATCGATCAAGACAGTCCTTCAGAATTTTCCCTGTTTGGCTGACTCACCAGTAAGCGTCACCTCCGTAAAGACAGCCAGGCCCAGAAAGCCTGTAGTCCCTCTTTGGGCCAGCTGAGCTTAGTGCCAGAGCCAGAGCAGTGGCTTCAGTGAGGGCTAAACTACTGGTCTCACCAAGTAGCCACTAATGAGCTGTCCCTTCTGAAAGAAAAATCTGGACACTGCATCCCAAACTAAACAGAACTATAATAGGGATCAATGTTTGAACAAAGATCTCTATATCTAAGTTATGAACAACTTCATGGCATCCCATGATGACAATGAAAACTTGATTACTCAAGTCTCTCAACAGAGTGGGTCATTCACAATGTAAATAAACAAGACAGTAAGCCAAATAAGAAGGATCCAGAGTAGGAATTATGCAAAATTCCTTGAGTTATTTTAGGCCAAAAATTAATCTGATTCAAGAGCCATGAAATTCTAATTTTTAACAAAATTTAATAACTATTTTAAGACAAAATCAGATGAAATGTTCAAAAGCAGTATTTGATTTTTCAATTTAGAAGATTTTTTTTTAAAGTTGTTTAAAAGCTTTTATTTATTTTTTTAATTTAGAAGATTTAAACAGTAAAATGTATTAAGCTGGTCAGAAGCAAGGATCCCTGCCGTCTACTTAAAACTAAAAAAAAAAATCTTTCTTTAAACTTTTTTCATTTGTGCAATTTGTGCAATACTGACAATCAGCCCCTGAGCACTAATAAACTAAACAATTTGAAAATCTACTTCTCTAATCCCCTGTGCTAGCCTATTCTCCAGCGACTGAAACCGTTTGGGTGCATAAGAATGTGTGAGATATATGAAAAAGGTCTCAAGGATAGCTTGCAATTAGAAAAATTCTTGCTATAAGGAGAAGCATACAAGTTATAAAAAAACTAGGTAACAACAACAAAATCTAGAAGCTTACCAACTGACCAACTGACCTATAACAATCTCTTAAGCAACCTGAACAACCTAGAACAATTTGTACATTCTGGCTACTTAAAGCTTTCAAACTGTTAGTTCCAAAGAAACCTAATCTACTTTTACAGAGAATAAAGTGGTGAAGCTCTCGAAGCTGTCTTAGGCAATATGTGCAAAAGGCATTGCTCAATTTAAGGGATCCCAGGAACTGAGATGCTCTAACACCTAGATTTGAGTACCTACTACACCCTAAACAATGTGCTAGTAACTGAATAGTTCATTTACCCAGGGCTTAATTATTTAAATCATCTCTGCCACCCTCCTTCTCTCTAAGCTTCTTTCTGACCCCTTACTGAAATATTTAGTGTCTGGAGCTGATAATGTTCAAAAGAAGAAAATATATCAAACACTGAAATGGGTCAATTTTATTCCTGTCAAAATTAAAAGTGGGGTATAGAATGATAAAATTCATTTTTAACAAGTTCTTTATTTAACAGCAGTGGTTCTCAACTGAGGAAAATTTTGTTCCCTAGGAAAGCACATTTGACAGGGACACTGTGGTTTCACAACTGCTGGAGAGGGAGTTCTCTGTGATCTAGGGAGCAGAGGTACCAATATCCTATAATACACAAGACTGCCCCCATAGCAAAGCATGACCTGGCCCCAAGTGCTAATAGTCCTGTAACAAAGAAACCTTAAATGAGACAAACTTTTATGAAATGGGGAGCTAATTATCTGTATTTTACATATAAATAACTCTTGGGGAAGTTTTACATTTGAAACCCTACTTACGTACCCGAGACCAGGATGAAAAGGAGTATACTTTCAATCTTGTGAAACCCATGGGCTCTTAATGCAACTTATACACATAAAAAACTGACATGTTAGTTCAGAAATCTAACAATAAAACAAGGAATTTAAGAATACTGGAGTTTAGGGCGCCTGGGTGGCTCAGATGGTTAAGCGTCTGCCTTCGGCTCAGGTCATGAGCCCAGGGTCCTGGGATTGAGTCCCGCATCGGGCTCCCTGCTCCTTGGGAGCCTGCTTCTCCCTCTGCCTCTCTCTCTCTCTCCGTCTCTCATGAATAAATAAATAAAATCTTAAAGAAAATAAAAAATATATAAAAAAAAGAATACTGGGGGCGCCTGAGTAGCTCAGTTGGTTAAGCGTCTGCCTTTGGCTCAGGTCATGATCCTGGGGTCCTGGGATCAAGTCCCACATCGGCTCCTCCTGCTCTGTAGGGAACCTGCTTCTCCCTCTACCTCTGCCTGCCACACCCCCTGCTTGTGCTCTGTCAAATAAATAAATAAAATCTTAAAAAATAATAATAAAATAAAATCTTTTAAAAAAAAGAATACTGGAGTTTCAAAATTTTACAGAAAAACACACAACTGTGATCAAGACCATACCCTCATAGGAATGGTCATGTCAGTTGTTGAGTTTTTCTTTTTTCCTCTATAGTTCTGGATAGTCTCAATTTTAAAGTAGGATTGATACTGCAAAATATATTCCTTACATCACTCAAAATGAAAAACACAGTTTAGTAATTTTAGGAGTTAAGGAACCTGAAACATATCAGATAGACTATTAAATGTTCATACTATATGAACCAAGGCCATGAATTTTCTGAAGTTTAATTCCTCTGAACTACAAGCAAAATCCATTCTAGACATATTCTAAACAAGTTTTTATTCACTTAAGGGTAATCAGCTTCATTATTTGAGTACATGTCTTTATTTATTTGAGGGTGGGAAGAAGCAGACTCCCCACTGAGCAGGGAACCCAACTCCGGGCTCCATCCCAGGACCCTGGGATCATGACCTGAGCCGAAGGCAGATGCTTAACCAACTGAGCCAGCCAGGTGCCCCTATATGAGTACATGTCTTAAGGGAAAACAGAAGCCCAGCTTTTCACTGAAATTTTCAATTTGCAATGACTTTTTATATAGCCAGTTTCTGAAGTACCAAATTAATTACTTAAATAATTAAATTATTAATTGAATTATCCAAGTATTGATTCTCCTTCTTAGTACCATACTACACTCTGCCTTGATATAACTAGACTGAATGGTGAAAAATATCTGTAAATCATATAACTGATAAAGGACTTATACCTAGAATTGAGATGTATTACAACTCAATAATATAAAAAGACAATCCAATTAAACTGGCAAAAGATATGCCAATTTTTCTAAAAAAGATTTACAAATGGTTAATGAACTCATGAAAAGATGCTTAATATCATTAGCCATTAGGGAAGTACAAATCAAAACCAGATGAAATATCACATCACACTTACTACGATGGCTATACTAACAAAGACAGATAGCAACAAGTGCTGGCAAGGATATGGAGAAACTGGAAACCTCACACACTGTTGGTAAAAATAGTACAGCTACTTTAGAAAATAGAATGGCAGGGGCACCTGGCTGGCTCAGTGGGTAGAGCATGCAATTCTTGATCTCAGGGTTGTAGGTTCAAGCCCCGTGTGGTGTAGAGATTAAAAATAAAATCTTTAAAAAAAAAGAGAGAGAGAGAGAGAGAAAGAAAATAGTATGGCAGTTCCTCAAAAGGTTAAACACAAATACCATATGATCCAGCAATTCCACCCCAAAGTATATGCCCAAGAAAAAATTGTATGTCCACACAAAACTTACCCATTATGTTCACAGCACTACTCATAATAGCCAAAAAGTAGAAAAAAACCTGTGTCCATCAGTGAACAGATGAACAAAATGTGGTATATTCATACCATAGAATATGATCTGGACAGGAGAAAGTACTGATACATGCTACAACATGGATGAACCTTGAAAACATGTTAAGTGAAAGAAGCCAGGCACAAAGGACCACATACTGTGTCTACATGAAATGTCCACAATAGGCCAATCCACAGAGTCAAAAAATAGAATGACAGTTGCCTAGGCTTGGGGGACTGATGGAAAATGGGGAGTGACTGCTGATGGGTACAGGGTTTCTTTCTGGAGTGATGAAAGTGTTCTAAAATCAACTGTAGTGACGGTTTGTATAGTTCTGTGAATGTACTAAAACCATTGAGCTGCATCCTTTAAATAGGTATGTAAATTATATCTCAATAAAGCTGTTATTTAAAAAAGATAGTTATGAAGTTGCCACATGAAATCTGAACCACTACATTTTTTAAAACTAAAAACTTCAGCCTTAAAATTTTATAAATGTAATACATTCAAGCCTCAATATTTATAAATGTGACATATTATGAATAATTCAAGGATAATACATCTTTGCTAAACTTTTGTGAGACAGCACCATATAGTATACATTATGTACCAAGAAAATTCTAAAACACGCCACTTCTTGAAATTTGTTAGTTTGATATCAAAACTAACTCCTTAAAATGGGCAGTTTTCCTTTACATTTTCAAAAAAGCAACTTACCAAGGTAACATATTGACTAAGTAGGGAAACTAGTTCATACGCAGTCTGATTCTAAAACTCATTTTCTTTCCCCTAAACATGCTGCCTCCCTAAGAGGAATAAGCTAGCAATCAGAAAACCTACATTCAAGTTAGTCTGAGATTGTTCCTTCCCAGCTATTTGCCCACTTTGGTTTTTTCTTCTACAAATCCAAAAGGATTACTAATAAGGATCAAAATGAAATAAAAAACAGGACATGTTTTTGTATACTATAAGATTTTATAATTCTTTTTATTATTTAAAATACATTTGATTTTCTAATAATAAAAACAAACTTTAAATATTAGAAGAAACATTCCCATAAATTAAAAGTCAGAAGTTAAAAACTGCCACCAGAAGAATGGTCAGAAAAAGGCTTGTCTTTACCTCTGACACTGTCAGGGTTCCCTTTATCCTTACGTAACAGAATTTTGACCTCTAAAAATGCCTGGATGGTAAGACTGTATATAAAAATTGAGCTACATGCTTTCAACCATCACTACACCATTAAACCACATGGAAACCAAAAAAGCATGAGGGAAAGAGCAGGATCATTGTTTTCTCACCCAGAATTTTAACTAATAAAAGCAACAATTTTCATACCTCTATCTTCAAGTTTAGGATTTTGAAGATTAATCAAAGAAATCACATCTACTCTAAATGGCTATCATAGAGCGGTACTATGAAATACTCTCATTTAAAGTCATTTTTTAAAGAATGCTCATAAAACACTGCTGCACAATCAAAACAAAACATAACAATGTTAGTTAAAATTCACTGAACACCAGGAACACTCTTGATTTTGGCTTGGGAGCCCAGCCCCATGGCAGGCTCCGTGCCCTGTGTGGAGTCTGCTTGTCCTTGTCCCTTTCCTTTGCCCTCTGCTCCCCCCCCCACCCGTTTGCTCACTCAAGCTCTTGCTCTCTCTCTAAAAAAGAAAATTCACTGAGCACTACACCCAAAAAACAAATAATCCAATTAAAAAATGGGCAGAAGACATGAACAGTCATTTCTCCAAAGACATACAGATGGCCAACAGACACAGGAAAAGATGCTCAGCATCACTCATCAGCAGGGAAATGCAAATCAAAACTACGATGAGGTATCACTTCACACCTGTCAGAATGGCTAAAATCAAAAACACAAGAAACAACAAGTATTGGCGAGAATGTGAAGAAAAAGGAACCCTCTTGCACTGTTGGTGGGAAAGCAAACTGGTGCAGCCACTGCAGAAGACAGTATGGAGGTTCCTCAAAAAATTGAAAATAGAACTACCCTATGATCCAGTAATCACACTACTGGATATTTACAGTAGAATACAAAGATACTAATTCAAAAGGATATATGCACCCCTATGTTTATTGCATCATTATTTACAAAAGCCAGAATACAGAAGCAGCCCAAGTGTCCACTGATAGATGATGGATAAAGAAGATGTGGTGTGTGTACATACACACACACACACACACACACACACACACACACACACACACACACTGGAATATTATTCAGCCATAAAAAAAGAATGAAATCTTACCATCTGCAACATGGATGGAGCTAAAGAGTATAACGCTAAGCAAAACAGAGAAAGACAGATACCATATGGTTTCACTCATATGTGGCATTTAAGAAACAAACAAACAAAGGGAAAAAGAGACAAACGAAGAAAGAGACTCAACTATAGAGAACAAACTGAAAGTTACCAGAGGGGATGTGGGCAGAGGGAGGGAGAATGGGTAAAACAGGTGATGGGGATTAGAGAGTACACTTATCATGATGAGCACTGAGTACTGTATAGAATTGTTGAATCACTCACTATATTGTACATCTGAAACTAATATAACACTATGTTAAAACTGTATTGGAATTTAAAAACTTAAAAAAAAGGAAAAAAATTCACTGAGCACTTATATGTCAAAAATTATGCTAAGAGCTTTATATGCTTTATCTTACTGAATCTTTACAATAGCGCCTTAAGATATTACCACCATTTTACAGGTAAGGAAACTGAGAACTATCTTTCTAATAAGTGACACTGAGGTTATAGAAATAAGGAACATGGTATTTGAAACTCTCCAGTCACCCATCCACTTATCCAAAAGATATGGCACTCGTAGGTAGCCAGGCACTCATCTACACACAAAAATGATGAATCAGAAGCCTAT